TTTGAATTATAATTGATTTTGTGTTTCCTCAATATTTCCCAATAAATACAGATAAGTCCTTGTTTTTGCTGAATCTATATTATTTTTTTTGTGTTAAGAAAATCATGTTTAAATTTAAATTACTTTAATAATAATAGAAATATATTATGCATCACTCGAAACTTATTATGGTTTGAGTTAAATTCGCATCAACTAGTTAACATGTTCCAAGTCCAAGTAGTCCGAAAGCGGCGTTCCATTCATTCCAAAAGAACTGGTAAAATCGCGTACTATGAAAATACGCGAACAACTTCAATTTGAATAAGAAAGCAGACAAAAGAATAATATTGGTAAAGTACTGTTCAAGTTGTATTAAAGTCCGAAAAAGCCTCGCATAGTTTCCAATTAATATGAATGTTATCGTATCTTTCTAAGGTGAGTAAAAAAATACTAAATTTCCAGCTTAAATTATAAGAATGTTTACCTCATCTATCAACGGGATGATACATACACATACATTTGTGTGTGTGAGTGTGAATGGTCACATACACACGTATTCAATCAATGTTTAGAAACAATTTACAATGTTGTCATGAAAAATTGTTGTTAATGGATTAAAGCTCTAAAGATTGCAATAGAAATTGTATTGAAATAATTTCATTATACATATAAGTATAGATATATGTGCATTAGTGTCAAAGTGGAAGTGAATCTGTGAAAAATCGATATTTTTAGTATGTACATATAAATATTTGTTCATAAGCAGCTACAAAAACCGCTTTGTCAAAGTCGGTATTAGTGATTCGAAATTAATATATTCGTGACAAATATTATATAAAATTTATACTCTTAACGAACCTACGATTGTTTTATGAGTGCATTAACTTCAGAAAACGTATATGTACATATATCATTGTAGTACATATTTACACACAATCTTATCTTAAAGGGGCGTGGCTTTTTGAATTATGTGTGCCTCAAACTGTTCGTATAACTTAACATAAATTCATACTTAACGGTAAGTTAAGATTAATGAAAAAACATATGCACAACCCGAAATTTTCTTTGGAGAGAAGAGTTTACCTTATTAAATACATACATACATACGTACATACATCTGAATACATCTAAATCCTTGTTTTTTTAATGTTATGATAATACAAAACAATGCTTGAATGCATTGGATGTTCGCTTAAATATGCAGATGTTTAATAATGTATTTATGTTTTTACAAAAATACCGACATGTACAGTAAATTTATACATACTGAGTAACCTATTGTATATGTATGTATGTATTTTCACATATTTACATACTTTCTTATAAAATTCACAGTATTATACGACTTCGTCTGAGTCAGACTTTATCTGCTTGCAAAAGCAGATACATAAGTATAAAGGTTTATCTTTGAGCTCAGTTTGAGGATGTATGTATAACTGGCAATAAATGCTTTCAATCTGCGCACCTTAAATAGAGGCCGCTACTAAGTTACTCTTATGTATATATGTATATGCGTGTGTGTACAAATAATTGGAAGAAAGCTGAACATTTGCGTTAAAGACACTCTTAATTGAAAACTACTAAAATAAACAGTATATAAGATGTTTCCTTATTAGACTCAAAGTATATTAATATCTATTTATGTTTGTATGTGTATGAGTAGCTAAGAAAGCTTTGTTAGTTTAATTGGATATGTGAATGGAAATGGAATCTGATCAGAATCATTATTACTATAAATTTAGGCTTATCTCAAGAAACCGATGTTTGTTTATTTATAAAATATTTTGTAGTCTTATTATTTCATTGGAAATTCTGCAAATAACATTATTTAAGTTTACATAATTACGTATTGATTAAATTATAATACTATTTAAGTTACTGTTTTTGAAATTTCTTGTTTTTTAATTTTTTTTTCCTTGTTTTCTTTGTTTTACAGATTTTAAACAAGCTTCAAAATGAATCCCCAGCCGAATTCAAATTTGGAGCAGTCCTTGGTGACGGAGGCGGGCCACATACAAGCCCAATATTCAGCTTTTCAAAACTTTGAGCAATACACCGCTGCCGGATATACAAATGCACCGTTATATATTTCAAAGCCAACTGGAATGGGGACTCTGACGCGTATTAATCCCCATTGCTCTACAATTGGATCTCAAAGTAAAATAGAAACAGCTTCGCAAGAAGTGACCATTCCCGGTATGGAACCCCATACCTTAGTACCGACGGTTAGATATATACAAGCACCACAATTTGATGAAGGAGCTGATTTCGGCTTACCTGGCCTACCGCCATGTGGGCTAGAGCCGCATTATACAGACGAGCCAGCTATACCATACGGTTATACTGCAGATTCCAATTATGGATTGCCGGGCGTTAGTGCAAATATGAAGCAATTCGCATCACGTCCCTTCGACAATAACCTAAATGGATCTGAATCAGCTATTGATTCGCAATGCAGATCTTTTGAAGGTCAAGGCGATTTCAAATTAGTACCATTCCCCACAAGCTCCCTAAACACTGTGCCGCCCAGAGTCGGCGAGAAGGAGGATTTCATTGGGGGCTCAGACAGTGATCTATGTTCCACAATGAGGTGGCGTGACCCAAACCTCTCGGAAGTTATAAGCTTTCTCAGTAATCCTAACAATGCTATAAAAGCAAATGCTGCCGCATATCTGCAGCATTTATGCTACATGGATGATCCGAACAAGCAGCGGACAAGGACATTGGGAGGAATACCGCCACTAATCCGACTATTATCTTATGATGCTCCGGAAATTCATAAGTGAGTGCCTAAAATCATAACCCTAATCGAAAATCTAATCTGATCCTGGCTATGAAACTAATTAATTTCTCTATTTGATTCTTTTTTTTATAGAAATGCTTGTGGTGCATTGCGCAATCTGTCATATGGCAGGCAAAACGATGAGAATAAACGAGCAATTAAGAATGCCGGCGGCATCGAAGCTTTGGTGCATCTGCTTTGCCGGTCTCAAGAAACTGAGGTCAAAGAATTGGTAACTGGAGTCTTATGGAATATGTCCTCGTGCGAAGACATTAAACGGTCAATTATTGATGAGGCGCTGGCTGCTATAGTATGTAATGTAATAAAACCCCATTCGGGATGGGATCCTATCTGCTGTGGCGAAACATGTTTCTCCACTGTATTCCGCAATGCTTCGGGAGTTTTGAGAAATGTCAGCTCAGCTGGCGAGCATGCGCGAGAATGCCTTCGTAACTGCGAGAACTTGGTCGAGTCTCTACTTTACGTTGTTCGATCATCCATTGAAAAGAATAATATTGGAAATAAAACAGTAGAGAATTGCGTTTGCATTCTGCGCAATCTATCGTATCGATGCCAAGAAGTTGAGGATCCCAACTATGATAAGCATCCATTTATTATACAGGAAAGGACTGTTCCATCCTCATCGAAAGGTAAGCAATGTAATATTTAGTTGATATAAAAAGAACTGTATTGTATTATAAATACGTATAATTGCAATGTTGCTTTGTCATATATTATTTTCAGGTGAGAATTTGGGCTGCTTTGGCACAAGTAAAAAGAAGAAGGATTTGGCACTGAATGAGTCGCAACAAGACTATATATTTTCAACGGAATATGCAAAGAATCCCCGAACAAACAATAAAACCAACAAAGGATATGAACAGCTCTGGCAACCGGAAGTAGTGCAATACTATCTCTCATTGCTGCAAAGCTGCAGCAATCCCGAAACGCTGGAAGCCGCTGCCGGTGCAATTCAAAATTTGTCAGCTTGCTACTGGCAGCCGAGCATTGATATTCGCGCAACGGTGCGCAAAGAGAAAGGCCTTCCGATACTGGTCGAACTGTTGCGAATGGAGGTCGATCGTGTCGTTTGTGCCGTTGCCACAGCACTGCGCAACCTTGCTATCGACCAACGAAACAAAGAATTGATTGGAAAGTACGCCATGCGCGATTTAGTCCAAAAACTACCATCTGGGAACGCTCAACATGACCAAAATACGTCAGACGACACCATCACAGCAGTATTGGCCACCATCAATGAAGTCATCAAGAAGAATCCAGAGTTTGCGCGTTCGCTCCTGGACGCCGGTGGTGTAGATAGGCTAATGAATATAACAAGACGCAAGGAACAGTATACCACGTGCGTCATCAAGTTTGCCAGTCAGGTTTTGTACACCATGTGGCAGCACCATGAGCTGCGCGAAGTATATAAAAAGAACGGATGGAAGGAACAGGATTTCGTTAATAAACACTTTGCAGCACATAGCACCCCGCCAAGCTCACCAAATAATGCTAACAATACTCTAAATAGACCAATGGCATCTCAGGGACGAACGCGTTACGAGGATCGAACAATCCAACGTGCCCCGAATTCATCTTATCGAAATAAAGATGCACCTGCTGGAGCTGTCATGTCCAACAACGATTCAGCATTGTTGTCCGAAATGGTTCGAAAACAATTATAAAGTGTATATTTGTTTGAATTTTTTTTTTTTCGTTTATTTTACTAGTTATATATAGACACTATATAACTCTTAAAATAACTAAGAGGTGAAAAATGAATTGTTTTACTGGGGCTTTATACTTTTCTCTAAGGTGGTAAAGTGAGAACGAAAGCAAAATCAGTTTTGTTAAATTTGTCTCGTAAATTTTGTAGTTTTCTTTATTTTTTGTTTGGTAAAGCTAAAATTAATATACATATCAATGCAAAGTAAAATAACTAAACAAATATGTGGGAAAAGAATTCAATGAAATTTAAGGATTAAAAGTCCAATAATTCAATGAAATCGGATTACAAATTTTATATATAAAGGGAGTTTTTGCAATGGGTGCCTAGGGTTACACTACGAAAAAGAGACAAGTTCTT